TTACAATGTGAAAGAAGGTAAACACAGAGGAACAGAGATCCAGGTGGTGAGAAGGTCAGGTAGATTACAGGATAAAACAAACTGTCTTAATTGGAGGGAAGAATTAATGGAATATAAGGTAACCACAACAATGGGGTTAGGGTGGGGGGTTTATTTCGGGTGTTGGGGAGGGTAATACAAAATGGCAGAGGAGGTGAAAGAACAAGATAGATAGGGGAACACTGATACAGATTTGCATCGCCTAAGTGGGAGAGAGGTAAATAGTGATGCATGCTCAAACTTGGAACAACAGGACTCTGGGATAGAGGGATCTAGGCATAGTTTGAAGAGGGGAAATAATACTAAAATGCTTGACTGTCTTATAAATATTGGTTTCCCTTGCCTACTATTGTAAAGTAGATACTTGAGTGGGATAGAAAGGAATGTTAGTAAACATGATTACAGAAAACTTGTAAGCCTGTCTTCAGCCTATAACTGATTGGAATATCTAAAATGGGGTACTAGAACTTGCCCAGTGAAATAGGCCTCTTGCAAAGCTTTTACAGAGTATAGTACCTTAGGTGGAATTCTGAGTCCCATCCAGAACTTTCTGGTGTGGGACATTCCCACTAGCAAGGACAAGCAGACCAGCCTGGAACAGCTAGAGTGACAGAAGATACAATTTCAAAGAAAGATCATCATGAAAAACCCAAAACAAAAATGTGAGCATGACTGGCTACTACAAGAATAAGAAAGCTGTTAGACAGGAAGACATCAAGAAGGCAAGCAACCAAGTTCCTTCGGGACAAACTCCCCTCTAAGATTGAAACTCAAAGGGAACATACAAACAGGCATGCAAGCTTGCTGGCGACCACATTGGTCTACTGGTGAGTGGAAGAGGGGGAAAGACAGCAATGAAGAAATAGGCTGAGTTCAATCACAGTCCATTTACTCTTGTTGACCCGGAAATGTGAGAGAGAAGAGGAATGGCTGGAGAGACCTGTGGACACTTGTGTCCATGCACAAGGACAGAGCCACAGAGGGCTAGAGCTGAGAGTGAAGCATCCAGCTGATATGAAGTGAGGGAGATGCACAAGAACACCCAAACTTGCAGACAGTACCCATTTGACCTAGCCTCGATGGCTTGATAATCAGAACTTGACTAGATGAAGATTACAAAAAAAAAAATTTTTTTTTGATAAGGGAAACAAGGGTAAATTACTACAATTTGATGAACCTGATCTATGCTCATGGAGTTAGTAACTCTAATTAGCAACAGAAAGGGAAGGAATCTTCACATCAAGTATCAATGCTATCCCTTCTGTACACAGGGTAGATAAGGATAGGCAATTTAGACATTGGCTACCTAAAATGAGGGGGCGATAAAGGCACAAAGTGACTGGTTTACAAGGTTTCAAGAGGGAGTTTAGTTTAAGAGTATGGGGGGTAAAGAAAGAGTCCCCACTGAATAGATTTCACCTTGTCTAGATGGGTCTGGTGAAAAGAGATGGGGATAAGTTTCATATGATTCAATGGTGAATAATTGTTATCATGACTAATTGTGACTGTCACAATTGTAAAGGTAAAAGTTTTGTAACAAAAACTGGGGAGTGGTTAATCTTACAGTCCAGAAACAGAGGACCCTAGGACCATCAAGGGAGAAGAGCACAAGTAGAATGTGGGAACTTATCCAGAGGAGCAGAGAAACCAGAGACGGAGGCAGAGATGGGAACATGGAGACAGAGAGCGGTTGAGGACTCTAGATTCATGGGAAGAGAAGGACTAAGAGCTGGTGACCAGGAGGCAGACTTGCAGAATGTGCCCTTTGTGTGTGTGTGTGTGTATAAGGTTTTATTGTGAATTGTGTGATATTTTACATGGGGGAACATTAGCTTTACATTCATCCTTTTATATATCGTTTCATTGCCATGATTACAATCCCCTCCATGCATCATCAACCAACCAAAGGGTATATACCCTGCAAGGCTGCACCCCCGTTGTCAGCACACAGCC